AAGCTCTCGGGGTTCCAAACCGTGTGAAAATATGCTTCTTGAGAAACTTGAGAACAACAGCGGCATCATTGGTGATCGAGGAAATTGCCTCCACCCAACGAGAGACATACTCAACTGCAAGTAATATATATCGATTCCCACATGAGAAAGGGAACGGGCCCATAAAGTCAATCCCCCAAACATCGAACAACTCGACCTCAATCACATTCGTCATAGGCATCTCATGGCGTCTAGAAATATTGCCCATCCTCTGGCATCGATCACACTGATTCACAAAAATATAGCACTCTTTATATAAAGTCGGCCAATAAAAACCACTTTGTAATACCTTTGCCGCGGTACGAGCTGACCCAAAGTGGCCACCCGTCGGTGAAGAGTGACACTGCTGAAGAATTTCATCCCACTCTTCTTGTGGAACACATCGTCTAATGATCATATCAGCACACCTCTTAAAGAGAAGAGGCTCGTCCCATGCCGTCTAATGATAAGTCCGGAGGTAAGACCCCGGCCACCAAGTAATTGACGATGTCGACGTACCAAGGAAATTTGGCCTTAGTCATAAGGAGTTGCTCGTCTGGAAACTCCTCTTTAATATCACTGGTGGTATCGGCCTCTTGCCGTTTATACTCAAGCCTCGATAAATGGTCCGCCACCACATTCTCGCAACCTCGACGATCACGAATCTCAACATCGAACTCTTGTAGTAAGAGAATCCACCGAATCAAGTGTGGCTTAGCATCCTTCTTGTCAAATAGATACTTGATTTCCGCGTGGTCTGTATGCACTATCGTCTTGGTGCCAATCAAATAAGCCCGAAATTTGTCAAAGGCATAGACAATGACTAACATCTTCTTTTCTGTGGTTGTGTAATTTTGTTGGGCTCCATCAAGTGTCTTGCTTGCATAATAAATAGCTCTGAAAAGCTTATCACGTCGCTGGCCCAACACTGCTCCAACAGCAAAATCGCTCGCATCACACATGATCTCAAATGGTCGAGACCAATCGGGGACCACCAAAATTGGAGAACTCACCAATGCTTTCTTCAACGTCTCGAATGCCTGCAAGCACTCAGCAGAAAAATTAAAAGCAATATCTTTTTCTAGTAATTGACTCAAAGGCTTCGAAATTTTAGAAAAGTCACGAATAAACCGTCTATAGAAACCGGCATGCCCAAGAAAACTCCGAATAGCCTTTTCATTCGCAGGAGGTGGAAGCTTCTCAATAGCCGAAATCTTTGCCCGATCTACCTCCAATCCTTCAGATGAGACTTTGTGGCCTAGAACAATACCATCTCGTACCATAAAATGGCACTTCTCCCAGTTAGGACTCAATCCATAAGAGAGCATCATGGTCCCGTCATAATCACCAAGTTTACCATCACAATATCTCTCAAATTTCAGGATGAAGATTTCAACCTCTTCATCATATGGAATGACAAATTCAATTTTTAAACATTCAGAATTAAAGAATTCTTCTTGAACCACCCCTTCAGTGAGAATAACTTTTGGGGATATTTCAAAGATGACATCCTTCTCTTCTTCGTGTTCTTCGACAACGATATAAATTTCTGGTGCACTATCTAACGACAAAAAGCATGGAGAAATGTAATCGAGCTCTTCTTTCGATATAGGAGGTAAACCAGAGAAAGGACAATTCTCCGGTGTGTGTGGCAACATCAAACCACATTCATCACACCCAATGCCACTTTCCTCGAGTTCTCTCCTACGACGCTTGGACTCAAACTCAACCCTTTTAAGTTCTTCCAACTGATAGAACAAACACTCCTCAAACCACTTTTTATCTTCTTCCGAGTATTTGGGATCATTGCGCCAGTCATAGTCTATCGCATCCTCATCCATCATAAAAAAAATATATATATATATATATTAGCAAGAAACACAAAAAATATCTAAATTAAAACCAACACTATCTATCATAATATTGATATAAATAATTATATTGGTCCCCGGCAACGGCGCCAAAAACTTATTCGCCTATATATTTAAAGCTCGACCGCAAGTGTACGGCTTCGCTCGTAGTATGTGGCAAGCAAGGTCGTATCCCAAGAGACCAAATATTTAATATATCAAGTGCAAGATTATGATAGTGTCAACTTTATTTAGACGACCGAATATGAGATTGATTAACTAAACTAAGAAAATAAATGAAAGGAAATAAAGCAAAAATAAAGAACTAGCTAGATCAACACGTGATAAAATGTATGAGAACGGTAGATTCTAAGACGCTGGGTTCAATTAATAGTTAGGATTCCTTCAAAGATATCACAACTAACTATTTTATTTATCTACCCTATAAGACGACCACAAATTTAGCTTATCGTCCCTCTCGAGATCAATAAAACCATAGATTAAATCACATATATTAGCGTCTCCACTCAACACATGCAATTCAACTCCAAAAAGATTAAAAGATCTAAAATCCTCACAATTACCTACTAATCTCTCGATTCAAGCAAGTAAATTGTGTCAAATATTAAAGACCTAATATTGAACTCATCTCCCGAATTATGAACAATATTGTCAAACATGTAAAAGAATTGATCAAGTTCTAAACATGGAATAAGAACAAAATACTTGAATATGGTTCAAAAGAAAAACAATCAATTATAAATAAATCATCCAAAATCCCAACATATTAATCTACTACCAAGTCTTAGAATCAATAAATCTAGCTACTCATGTTCGAATTCAAACACATAGACATATTCAAAATCGACATGATCAATAAAAGTTCAAGACGAAAGAAGAAATAAAAACTAGGAATCTCGTCGATCTTTCAATCTTCTTGATTCCTTCGTAGTTGATCTTCCTTTTGCTCCACACTTGCTTCCCTTGTGTGTTCTAATCCCTTCTCCTTGTATTCTCTCTGTTTTTCTCTCAGAATAGGGTTAATATACTCTTTTTAATGTCCAAAACTTCTCTCCTTATCAAAAAAGACAAGGGATAAAAAACTTTCTGCGCGCGCGACACGACCTGACACGCCCGTGTCATGGGTCGTGTCTCTGGTCGTGTCGCATGTACTGCACTTAATCTTTTCTGTTGGATGACACGGGCCGTGACACGACCTTGGAGCCCGTGTCACGGGTCGTGTCACGCCACTGTTCACTCACTTTCAGCTCGTTCTGCTCGTTTCTTCCATTCTCTTCATCCGTGCATCGATCTATCATTATCCCGGGAGTCTCAGGCACTCACTATGCTCCTCCAATAGCCAAAGCTCTACAAATATGTGAAAATATCTACAAAACAAGCACGTGTAATACCTTTCCAACAAATATATAATTAAAGCACAAATATGCAATTTATACACCAATAATGCACAAATTAAGCTCAAGATACTATATGAATATGGGGTAAAATTACACATGAACAGTTGTGCACGTAGATTGTCGGACGTCTGGCATGCAGTCTGTCGATGACTCGACTTGCCACACGCAGAACCCTGCAAATTTGCCAGCGGCTTGTGACCACCAAAAGTAGCCGAACCCAGAGGACGGCTAGGGCCAATAGCAGGAGGACCGGAGACAGTCGTAGACCGAAGGGGTGGCACCAAAGAGTCCGTCGACCTCCGAGTCATCTGTTTTCCACCAAAAGAGTCTGTTGGTGTGCATCCAAAATAGATTCCGGCGCGAAAAGGTTCAACGTGTCCTGAAAGGGCAACCACAAACCCTTAATATACCGAGAACCCAATTGGTCTGTTGTCTTGCGCACATCTATGCGTGTGAGAAGCTAATAGAGTTTTTCAGTATAGTCATTAACCGAACAAGGACCTTGACGAAGATTTTGTAACCATTGGGACATAATTGTAAGGCAGAAAATCACATTCCACGTGCTTGCAGAATTTCGCCCATGTCGCAAATTTCGGCTACCCCTGACCATGACACGCCGCTTTGAATTGCTGCCACCAAGCGGCAGCCCTGCCGCGCAGCCGCGTCGTTATGAGGGAGACGCGCCGATTGTCTGAAAACTCTTTGAAGTCGAGGATGTTCTCGACTATGGCCTTCCAATCTAAAAAGTCATTCGCGTCCAAGCCGCCCGTGAATTCTGTGATCTCGACTTGGAATGAAGCCTTCCATCGCCAGTCATCAACGCAGAAGTCCTCGTCCCATGCCGTCATATGACTGAAAGTCTGAAAGGATTGATCTTGAAGACGACGCCTTTTTGTCATCGTCACCGAAGAACGGCAGAGGTTGAACCAGCCTGAGTTCTTCGACCACAGTGGTCAAAGTCGCGACTTGATGGCTCAACGGCTCGATCGCGGCATTGCACATTTCGTCTGAAGTGTCATTCTGTTTTAGCGGCATGGCATAGGAGTCGTACTGGTCTTATGATACCAACTGACGTAGCAACAACATAAACAAATGAGATAATTGAGAGAGAACTCTCGTATTTTCTTACTCAATCAAAATCAACAGTCTCCAAACCAAACAAAAGATAGGAGTCTTGAATAGATTTCCTAAAAAAATATACCTACATTAATAAAAAAAATGACTCCTATATTTCTACCAAATCTAGGACTAAAATAATTACAAAATAGAAAAATAAATAAACTAAAAATAACAAATTATCATATTTGTCCCAAAAAAAAAAAAAAAAAAAAAA